GGGGCAAACAAGAAGAACAAGAATCATAAATTTCCTATATCCAGCCTCTGCCTCTTCAATGATCGATACCCTCAACCCCAACCAAACCAACATGGTCTAGTGAGTTGTCACTGGTTCTTACCCTTTTGAAGAACTGCAATATGTTGCTTGAGCCTTTGTTTGAAGTTTTTCTTACCATGAGAGAAACATAAGGGTGCATTTTTACCAAACAGTAGTCCATAGCAGAGGGGAAGAACGAGAAACCGACAAAAAGAAGATGAAAATCCCTTCCGGGGAAAGCTAAACAACAGTTGTGCAACGTTGCTTTGGGTTACTGGTGTAATATAGCCTGGGATTTGTATAACAACGCACAAACTCATCATCTTCTTTTGCATCATCAACCAAGTCTCTGGTGTACAAACTCCAACTTTAGGTACTGAATACCTCAAACACTGGCAAATATTTTATGCATATACATTAGATATACATCAACAGTACTGGAAGACGAGCTATTATCACGTTTCTCCCATTTAGAGTAATTCAGCATGACCTTATCGAAGATGGTGCCTGCAAAGATGATATCAAAGACGGTACAACATCAGTGGAGAGAACTAAAAGCAATGAAAGGTAAAATCAATAGAATGATATTAGATATTAAAATAAAGAACATAGAGAAAAAAAAAGGGGGGGGGGGGGGGAGGCACCTCAAGGTTTCTTTTGTTCCACGACGAATCTTGCAACGAATAGTTGGAAGGCCAAGCCGCTGATGAGCTTCATAGCGATGACAACCAGAAAACCCTGGAAAAGACAAGAGACAGTATTTTAATTCTCTTCAGCAGTTAAAGATCAAGTATCAGTTGAAAGATCACAATGAATAGCTTAATGCTTAGGCAAGAAACTGAAAAGAAGACATACCGTAGTAAACTCCATCCACCTCAAGCACATCAATCTGCATAAGATATAAAACTGTCACTGAGTCTAATATTCACCCGCAGACGGGTTAACATGAACCAAGGCAGAACTTCTATTGGTAATTACTTTAACCATGCATATACAAGAAGGAATAGAAGTGTCAAAAGCGACTTTCCCATAATAAACTGATAAAGGACAATGTTTTCAGATGTCAAGGCTGTGTCCCTCTCTGTTAGCAAAGGATTGCTGGAAATTTAGTTCAAGCTGGGGAATAAGATTTATGGCTTACGCCCTACAGGAAATTTTAGGACTTGATTATTTTCTAAAGGTTATAGGTCATCAGATATGAATTTAGGAAGTGGGAGTTGAATAAGTCATGAATCTAAGGACAAACATATTCATTCACGACAATGCGAGTGCATGCGAGTACATTCTCATCTCCACTTATATTTGAAGACAAAATCAAATCATGTGAAAAGTAAATAACAGGTACAGCAAAGGATTTGTAATTACAGGTACTTGAAGCCCGATTTCCTTAATACTATCCATCAGTTCCATCACTTTTTGCTGGTCATTAGCTCTGGTACGCATGAGTGGCCTTCGGATCTTATCAAGGGGAAGTTCAAGAATCACTGGCCCCGCTGATTGAGGCACACCAGGAGTTGACCCTGAATCCATATTATGAATAATTTAGAAGCATTAACCTTAAGAAACAGTTAAATGCATTAAGAACTCAACTGGTAGGTTTAGGAGTAAAGACTTTGCATTTCAAAGAAAACATTGAAAACCCAACTTGGTATATCTAAATTAGGCTCATTGAACATTTAGTATGAACAGGAGAGAAAACCAGATTCATCAACTACATGATTCCTGTAATTATGCTTTCAGTTTCTGTTTCCTGGTTTGCAGCTGGGGATGGTTGCAATGACAGAAACTAGGGGTGATCTCCTAATTCTCTGAAGTAGGTTATTTGTTTCATTCTTTATGATTTTGGCTTTTGCCCTCGATGATGCAATCATACCAGAACTAATGCACCGGATCCCATTAGAACTCCGAAGTTAAGCGTGCTTGGGCGAGAGTAGTACTAGGATGGGCGACCCTCTTCCCCACTCGTGGGAATATACTGGATACTCTCGATAAGAGGATGTAGTTTCTCGCTCCTCTACCCTTCTCCACTAAAATACCAAGCTTTCTGCCGGTCCAAGTTTCAACCCACACATCACGTGCTAGACCAAAGACCCAGGAGCAAAATTTAATTCTGTTATTCTTCTCTGCTTTTATTTACCTATGCAACAACTACCAATTTTGATCAAGGACCCAGAAATGCTTGTGCTAAGCTCAACTCGAAAAACACAGCCATTTACCAATTTGACAGTTATGGGTACACTAATTCTTTGTATTCTACAGAACCATTACAGATTTGATAGAATTCCAATATATAAGGTCTATTCCAAGACAATATTCCCAACAGAAATCTCTACAACAATATTAAATAATTCAAACAAAAACATGAAGCAAGATATGTATTAATAAAAAATCTCAATTATGAGGCAATCAATCAGCACAAATTTGGTTGATGGTTCATGCTAAACAACACCACAAATAAACAAAAGCACACATGCTTTGGCAGTTTTAGAAGCAAAGAAATTAGCATTTCATAATATTAAAAAAGAATCTTTGATAACCCAAATTGGTTTTTTAATCTAAATTGTGCTCACATAACAGTTATATATACTACAATCGCTTGATTTGAGCAGAAACCTATAACTATAATTTTTGGCTAAACTCTACTAAAAGAACAGATAAATCTTTTCTTAAAGTAGATATTTTTAGCAGAAATTCTCAATAAACATAGTGGAGTAATAATTTAGGAAGGCAGAAGGATACCATTAGAGGAGGATGAGACAGTGAAGCTCCGCAAACGCAGGTTATTTGGAAGTTGCAATACAAAATTCGCCATTTTTCTCTCTTTAACTTCTTGAATCTTACAGAATCTGATGATATGAATATAAAGGGACCTAAACGTGTTTTTTGTGGATTAGAAATTAGAATCCACATTTTTTATACAAAAAAAAAAAAAAAAAAGAAAGGAACTCTCTACTTCATTGAATAATTTATCTTTTTGGACAAGTTTACAAGTACTACTAGTACTCCCTTGTTCCATTTTATTTGACATTATTTTCTTCTTAATCTATTTAAAAAATTGATACATTCCTACATTGTCTTAACGAAGCTTTAATTTTATTTGTTTAAAATTACAAGTTTCAAAAGTTTTATAATCACACAAATATTATGACTTGCTCATGCTATTTACTTTTATTTGTCCATTATTGACTTTGCACACCTCTTAATAAAGTGATTTTTTTCTTTCCTATACAATATTTGAAACTTATTTACTAAAACTGTTCTAATTTTATATATTACCCGCCCTAAACAAGGATTACTTACAAATTATATACAATCCATCAGGAAGTTTGAATGGAACCATCAGGAAGTAATCATCCACGGGGATGGGAGTAACCCCATTTACACCAATCAAACTGTTCCGATTGCCCGAGAATAGAAGTAAATTGGGTGGAGAAACGTACCATCGCATCGAGCGCGTCAGTGCAATCGAGAAAGACAAATGGTAGAGTAATAAGATCGAAAGCATATTGTCATGGACAGGGTATGAACCCCGCAAGGGTCTCGGCAAGAATCTCCAGGGGATCACCAAACTGATACAGCTAAAGCGTCACGGGACAACTTTTGGGCTTAGGTATGAATACACCTGGCACGAGTATCAAAATTGGTCGCCACCATGGCATGGTCCTTATTACCCACTTGAACAGCCAATACCGCATCTACACCAAACATTTCAGCAGGCTGTCGTGATATGGGGATCTGAAGAAGATGAGGTTTTAGCTGGCCTAAGAAATCTATTTTTGGACGATGAAAACATGGACTGCAATACAATAGTTGAGGAGGAGGAGGAGGAAGACCTTACAATTCAGACCGTGGGAAAAGGAGTCGTTCTCAAGAATTGGACTGCTGCACCGTCCCGGGCCCAGCGAGTTCCTGGGTAGCCTGGCAATTAGCATGATTTATTTTTAAAAGCAATTTTCGGCATTTCAGTGTTTTGTTTTAGAATTACTTTGTTTGAAATAATTGCTCGAGTCATCGAGCCGTACTCGTTTTAATGTTTTCAAGATTTATCTAATGCATTGCTATTTTAGTATTTATTATTTTCATTTACATTTTCTCTCCACAACATTATTATTACCTATCCTGATGAACCGGCGACCGTGACATGTAATGAGACAACACAACATAAGGATAGTGATTCAGAGGAAATAGAAGAAGAAGATATAATCCCTGAGGAAATTGTCAGAGAGGTGGAAAATTTTGAGAATAAGCCTAAGTCAAATTTGGATGAAACTGAGATAGTCAATTTGGGAGATTCTGAAACAGTCAAAGAAACTCGCATAAGCATTCACCTGTCACCACCAGAGAAAGAAGAGTACACCCGTTTCCTGAAAGAATACGAAGATATCTTTGCATGGTCTTATGATTATATGACTGGTCTGAGCACGTCCATAGTGGCCAACAAGTTACCCACCGATCCCATGTGCCGCGGTGAAATAGAAGCTCAGAAAATTCAAGCCAGATATGAGTTTGAAGATAAAGGGGGAAGTTACTAAGCAAATCAAGGCCAAGGTTCTCAGAGTGGTTGAATATCATTTGCGCACATCAACCGGAGCAACTCCCTACATATTGGTCTACAGTACGGAAGCTGTCATTCCCGCGTAAGTCGAAATTCCTTCTTTGAGAATTATACAAGAAGCAGAACTCAGTGATGCAGAATGGATAAGAAGTCGCTACGAACAACTAGCTCTTATTGACGGGAAAAGAATGAATGCGGTATGTCACAGTCAACTTTATCAAAACAGAATGTCCACAGCTTTCAACAAAAGGGTCAGACCCAGACAGTTCGCACCGGGACAGCTGGTGCTGAAGCGGATCTTCCCGCATCAAGATGAGGACAAAGGAAAATTCTCACCTAATTGGCAAGGGCCCTACATGGTTCACAGGGTACTAACAGGAGGAGCACTCATACTTGCAGAAATGGATAGAGAAATTTGGCCAACGCCTATCAATTCAGACGAAGTCAAGAGATACTATGTTTAGGATTCTTTGCATTTCTTCATTTGATGTAACTATAATACGCTTGACCTGATTCTCGTTTACGAGGGGATATGTAGGCATCCCTGTGGGTTCGGTCACATTATAATAAAATCTTCATTTTCTCCATGGTCAGAAACTGAGGTAGAATTTTGAGGAGGACCCTCCAAATTCTGGAGCAAGTCCAGCCAATTTTGTCGCATACAGAACGGTCAAAGAATCACTTCTTAAACTGGAGCAGAATTTTGAGGAGGACCCTCAAAATTCTAATGCAAGGAAGTTGCAATGTCTTTAAAAGTATCACAATCATTGATTCATCTACTTTACTCGATATCGTATACTACTATGTTTTAAAATAACTATGTTTATCAAATGCACGCATATTGTTTGAAAACTTTACTTCTATGGCAGTCAGATGCTACCCAGGGTAACTCAAACGGGATCCCCAGAGCAAAGCAAGACAAAAGCAAGCAAGCGAAGGCCTGAACCAACCTTCCCCGCAAAGCTCACGATTTTTCTTTGGATGCAGGCACAATGAACATGACATGAGTATTCGCAAGTATACACGTATCAAAATCACTATCTTCGTAATGACAAGGCTGCCAACGCAAATATGTCTCCAGATAAGAAAATACTCTGCTATCACTCATTATCTTTTCTTTGCATGAGGCTAAGCTCTGCCTCCCACTTTGCATGAGGCTAAGCCCTGCCACCCTAACTGCATAAGGCTAAGCAATGCCTTTCCTTGCATCGAGACTAAGCATTGTCTCCTCTTTGCATGAGGCTAAGCCCTGCCTCCCATTTTGCATAAGGCTAAGCACTGCCTTCCATTGCATGAGACTAAGCCCTGTCTCCTCTTCTGGCATGAGGCTAAGCCCTGCCTCCCCAGTTGCATAAGGCTAAGCACTTCCTTTCCTTGCATCGAGACTAAACGTTGTATCCTCTTCTTGCATGAGGCTAAGCCCTGCCTCCTCAATTGCATAAGGCTAAGCACCGCCCTTCCCCTGCATGAGACTAAGCATTGTCTCCATTTTGCATGAGGCTAAGCCCTGCCTCCCTAACTGCATAAGGCTAAGCACTGCCTTTCCTTGCATCGAGACTAAGCATTGTCTCCTCCTTTTGCATGAGACTAAGCCCTGCCTCTTCAACTGCATAAGGCTAAGAACTGCCTTTCCTTGCATCGAGACTAAGCATTGTCTCCATTTTGCATGAGGCTAAACCCTGCCTTCTTAACTGCATAAGGCTAAGCACTGCCTTCCATTGCACAAGACTAAGCCTTGTCTCCTGTTCCTGCATAAGGCTAAGCATTGCCTCCCTAAATTGCATAAGTCTAAGCATTTCCTTTCATTACATGAGACTAAGCATTGTCTCCCTTTCTTGCATGAGGCTAAGCGTTGCCTCCCCAACTGCATAAGGCTAAGCTCTGGCTTTCCTTGTCTAATACCGAATGCTACGCTACTTGAAATCTAGCACTATTTTTCCTTCCCAGGGGCTAAGCTCTGTCCCAATCTTATGCAAGACTAAGCTCTGTCTTGTTTCGCTTATATGACCCATCATCATGTTTCTACGTTTCATGGGCTGAAACATCGCCATATTATCCAAAGGCATCATAGTCTGTAGGCATCATCCTCATAGCCTGAAGACACCATGTCATGGCCTGAGGATCCCTCAATATTGAACATCATTATTCAAAGGTGTCATAGTTCAGAGGCACCATTCTCATGGCCTGAGAACATCATTTCATGGTCTGCGAATCCCTTATCACGCGATTCATAGCCCAGGACGTCATGGTCTAAGGACATCATCCTCACCGTCTAAAGACAGCCTTCATGGTCCAAAGATAATTTGCATCATGTTTAAATTCTCGCAATAATCTATATATTTGCATGTATCGTGTTTTAAAGTTTTGCATGTAATCCAGGAAGGAACCTTTTTTCAAGCGGGAGCAATCTTCGCTCCGATTTCCATTCACAATGTTCACATTCTACAAATGTTTTAGACGTAACCGACTCCCATCAATTACTCACTTTTCTCTATGGCTATTCAGATACCTGCTCTATAACACATCCTTTACGTTTCAGATTCACATTCATAACTCTGCACCCGATACTATCCTTCCCAAGAAGAACCCTTTCCGAAACACAAGTCCATTCCTATAACAATTCCATCGGTTTCATTCACCATTGGGTCCGGAACTACACATGGCCTGATTTCTGTAAAACCAGGGATATGTAGGCAACTCAGAAACCGGAGTTCGGCCTCTATTTTTTAAATCATCCCATTCGATCAAAATCGATCATCATTTCTTTACCCGAAAATTCTTTCATCATTCCCGAGTAAAGAGAGGCAGGTGTTGATACCCAATTTTTCCCTCATATTTTAAATATGTATATATACCTTCAAAATAGTGCATATGCATTATAATTTGAATTATAAGCATACACAAATATTTTTTAAAATTTTCATAATTTTTAAAGACTTCAAACCAATTTATTCCTACATTTTATTATATAAAAATCTAATAATTATCCTCCGAATTATTTTTCTGATGATTTAATCATCTAGGCTTATCATTTATACCAACATGAGGATTTTCAATACATCTTTTATAATTACATTTGCATTTTTAGGGCTAATTGCACATTTTTGCAAAAATAGCCAATATTAGCGTATAATTACATTTTTTTGTGCAGAAAATGACTTTTTATATATTTATAATGTTAAGTAATTATTTTTAATCATTTTAGTACACAAATGATATTTTTGGTATTTATTAATTACTGTTATAAATTATTTATTTATTAAATATTGGGTATTTAAAAACTAGCCTAAATTCTACCTAACTTTCGAACCAACCCCCAGCCCAAT